CATGAACGGCTGCCAATTGCAATGGTGCTTTTCAATGTGGACATCCGCTCATTACGAAAGGGCCAAGACTCCTAAATGAGCACTGACCATTGCACAGATGTTGGGTGGGGTTTCCAAAGCCATAATGGGAACCGGGCATCTGAATTCCCTACAGGTTAGTGGGATCTGACTTACAGAATTCCTTAGTCAGCTTTGAAAAACAGCTGTCATGTTTAAAAATATCCAGTCCTGGCTGACTTTGATATGGTGGTCTACAAGATACTATCTATCAAACAGCCTCGTGGAGTTGCTTTCTAGCGTTTCTATAGAGTGATTGCATAGGAAGCAGCCAAGATAAACTACTGCTGAGATGTTGCCCCTCGTAGCGTGATAGCAGAATACATAGGGAATAACAGCAGTAGAGGTCTCCTTAAAACAAGAAAACAAAGACAACTCAAAATCTGTGCTGTAAAAAGTGGCATTTTCCACACCCAAACATGCAGCCAGCCTCCTAAAGAGTGAGTAAATTTGGCAGAAATCTTGATGCAAAACTGTCTTAATTCTCCTTGACAGCACACCATCTCTCAGCTGAAGTTCGCTGAGTTTTAGTTGCTGCTAGAATCAAAGGGTCTTTCTTGGACGGCTGGAAAACTAGGAAAGGGAGCATACATCATCATGACCAAAGGCCACTCTAGAGGATTCACATCTGCAGGGGCAGGAACTGGTGACCTCTCGGCTTTGGGCTAGACCAACGTCATGGAAAGAGAAAAAGTAGAAAGCACTGACTATCACACTTCCTATTAATCAAATTCTCTCACCACCTGAAACTTATATAAAATCCCTGCTAGGCCAGGGTCTATGTTTCAAAGACCAAATGAAAACCATGTGGAGGATCTTTGGCTTTGTGATCATGTTTATTTTTTTAGCTTCATATAGGGAGGGGCAACGGTCCATAAATGTATAATTACTACTACATAAGCCACTGCTATATACTGTAGCCGGAGCAAGTTAGAGAGAGAATACGAGCCTTTTGTATAACACAGAGCATTGACTGTGATGGGGAAAAACTGAGTCATTAATTTTAACCAAGAGAATTACATGATGTGGGTGCCTGCAACAGCAAGAAAACAACCATGATATTCCAGCTGTATGCGTCAAGCACTTAAGAAAACAATTAACATTCCAGCATTGCCATTTAGCCAGTTGTTTTCTTTCCAACTCTGCATGGTAAAATCTTCCTAATACTCTACTTTTGTTTTTCCTGTTGTCTAATATCTCCTATGCAAAAGGATCACACAAAATGCTGTAGGTTGGATATTCAAGCCTCAGCTCCATTTACAGAAAGCTTCTGATGGCTTGTCTTTCCAAAAGTTCAGATTAAATGACTTAATTGGCATTAACTTCATTTGTCTCTGCGTGTGTTCATGAAGAAGTTTCAAAGGATGCATCACTTTTGATAAATTATAGCTATTTCCAGCAGGAGGGAGGAAAACATAGCTCTGCTCATCATGCTTCTGTGCCTTGTTTCACTACCAGGTCACTGAAGTCTTTGGTATTTCAGCCTAGAGCACAATGACCTGAATAGTCTGAGTGCATTTTTCTTACTAAGAATTGTATGTGGGAGCAGACTTGGCCTCTCAGTATCACTAAGGCTAAAGTCTCCTGACCTTTCTGTCAGTCAGCACAAACGTAGGCTTTCCTAATTAAATCTCCTTATTGGATTTGGCTGGGCTATTTCTAACGATGTGGTTCCCCATAAGGAAGAGTAGTAAAGTCAGGAAGGTGACCAGATTTACAGCCAAAGACTGGATCACTTGTACTGCTGCAAAAGTCTCTTCAGATTTCAAAGATGTTTAAGGACCCAGAATGGAAGATGGGTGAAATATGGGATTAGAGGAACACATGAGATCATGAGTCCGCATCAAAATGCACCGAGTTAAAAGAGGTATGGAGAATGAACAGAACTAGCGTAAGGGAAGAAGAGGGTGGAGAGAATTGGG